CCTGACGAGTGAGCACATTTTCTATGCCAGGTGAAATTAGCTCATTGTTATGGATGTATCCAAATAAAAAACAGCTTATGCATATGCAGCTACTTTGCCGTTCTTCTGGCTGCACTTTTTGATGTGACTGTAAGTTAGCCGTAGTTGGCTAGCTACCAAGCAAGGGATAAAAACATTGCCAGCCAGTATGGCAATGGAACATTTAGAACAAACGACTGGGTCGCGTCCATAGATACAGAACAAAAAGACTGAATGACTGGGTCGCGTCTCTGGCAACTGAACCGATAGAACGAACGACCAGCCGGCTTGGGTAGCAACCCTAGATTTGTGTCGGGACTATATCTTGTGGAAGGATGAAATAGTATGAATAAATTAATACAAATAACGTTTTTAATGAAAATATGTAGATCATTATTTGAATGTGTTGGTAACCCGTTGTGTTAAAGTGATAATGCCCTCAAAGCCGGTGTTTGGAGGATATATTGGCACGGTTTGCCGGCCCGAGACAAAGTCAATATATCCTCCAAACACCAGCTTCTCGGGCATTATCACTTAAACAAAACCGAGGTGCAAAACAGACAGGATTGGCTTAGATTGTTGACAATATGTAAGCTATATTTCGTCATCAATGTTATTGAAAACATACATGCATTTGCGCAATCATTACAATTATTGGTTATTATAAGCATTGACATGAAATAAGTTAAAACACCTCAAAACGACATGGTATCAATAACAAGACAAAACGAGCTGAAACAAGCCACTTACGATTCCCCACATGGCAGTTTCTTGTCGTTATTGCTAGCAATCTGGCCATCCAGAATCACAACAACTTGCTAACTTCTGCCCCATGGAAGCGTGCACATCGTTTTTCGTGATGTTGTCAGCTAACCCTTCTATGCTTTGGATAGGGCAGGTAGACTAAACACGCACACACACTGGCAAAGATTTTCAGGTGGCAGGCAGACACTGGAATAAGTTTGAGTGACAAAGTGAGGGCTTTGCATAGGCGTGTTTATGTGGGACTAATAATGGTTCTGTTCCGTAAAAGTATGGATCACAACTGTTTAGGCTAGCTAGATCAATGATAGGTGCGAAGTAACATTAGCAGGGGTTGGAACCGTTTCAGGGATCAAAACCGGAAAAGAACGACATTGGTTTTCTGTTCTGTTCCCTGAAGCGTTCCAACCCCTGCTAATGTTACTTCGCACCTGTCATTAGAGCTAGCTAGATCAAATAGTTGTTAGCTATTTACAGTTGAAGTCGGACGTTTACATACACCTTAGCCAAATACATTTAAACTCAGTTTTTCACAATTCCTGACATTTAATCCTAGTAAAAATTCACTGTCTTAGGTCAGTTAGGATCACCACTTTATTTGTGAATGTGAAATGTCAGAATAATAGTAGAGAGAATGATTTATTTCTGCTTTTATTTATTTCATCACATTCCCAGTGGGTCAGAAGTTTACACACACTCAATTAGTATTTGGTAGCATTGCCTTTAAATTGTTTAACTTTGGTCAAACGTTTCGGCCAAACAGTTCTATTTTTGTTTCATCAGACCAGAGGACATTTCTCCAAAAAGTACGATCTTTGTCCCCATGTGCAGTTGCAAACCGTAGTCTGGCTTTTTTATGTCGGTTTTGGAGCAGTGGCTTCTTCCTTGCTAAGCGGCCTTTCAGGTTATGTTTTTTTATTGGACTCGTTTTATTGTGGATATAGATACTTTTGTACCTGTTTCCTCCAGTATTTTCACAAGGTCCTTTGCTGCTGTTCTGGGTTTGATTTGCACTTTTCGCACCAAAGTACGTTCATCTCTAGGAGACAGAACACATCTCCTTCCTGAGCGTTATGACAGCTGCATGGTCCAATGGTGTTTGTACTTGCGTACTATTGTTTGTACAGATGAACGTGGTACCTTCAGGCATTTGGAAATTGCTCCCAAGGATGAACCAGACTTGTGGAGGTCTACCATTTTTTTTTCTGAGGTCTTTCTTTTGATTTTCCCATGATGTCAAGCAAAGAGGCACTGCGTTTGAAGGTAGGCCTTGAAATACATCCACAGGTACACCTCCAATTGACTCAAATGATGTCAATTAGCCTATCAGAAGCTTCTAAAGCCATGACATCATTTTCTGGAATTTTCCAAGCTCTTTAAAGGCACAGTCAACTTAGTGTATGTAAACTTCTGACCCACTTGAATTGTGATACAGTGAATTATAAGTGAAATAATCTGTCTGTAAACAATTGTTGGAAAAATTACTTGTCATGCACAAGGTAGATGTCCTAACCGACATGCCAAAACTATAGTTTGTTAACAAGAATTTGTGGAGTGGTTGAAAACCGAGTTTTAATGATTCCAACCTAAGTGTATGTAAACTTCTGACTTCAACTGTACATGCAGCTAGAGAATGTTTTCTATCCAGGACAGTCAACCTAAACCAGAAACTTTAAAATTAGCCCAAATGCCGGCAGATGGCGAAAATTGAGTCGTTTCATCTTACTGTCCAAAGGGATTGCAGAAGTCTGTTTACCCTTGGTCTGAATGCTGTATGTAATGTCAGGAAGTAACATTAGCCACCATAGCATGGTGGTGGAAAATGGTGTTTCATAAAGAATGCACATTTTCCCAGATTTTTAAATTGCGTTAAGGAAATCGACCCGCTTTTGCATCCTGAATGGAGAATGTTTTATGTATGAACCGGTCCACCGGGGATACGATTGTATTGCCGGCTGCATACATTCAGTTTGGACGGTAAGATGAAACAACTCAATATTGCCATCTTCTGACCTTTGGGCTACTGTAATATGCTAACTATCTCTGGCTAAACCAGTTAGTTAGCTAGCTACTAGCCCTTCTAAAGTACCCAACTAGCTAACACTACTGCAAATCTATGTGAATCATTGAAGCTTCGTACTACCACATTAAAGCTAAATTCATGTTTTGATGTGAATGACAACTTGACCACTTGAGCCATCCTAGGACTCGAGAACCCACAGGAATGATTGACAGTTGCCTTCTTTGCTATCTGCTATGGCTGTATGCCTGGCCTTGGGTGCTCGAGAGGTAGCCTAGCTAGCTACATGACAGATATTTGCACCTACCTACTTTGACCCCATTAACCAGTTAGGTAGCAAACAAGGCAACTGTCAATCATTCCTGCGGCTTCTCGAGTCCTAGGTTGGCTGAAGTGGACAAGTTGTCATGCACGTCAAAACATAATATATGCCATTTAGCAGACGCATTTAATCAAAGTGACTTAGTCATTTTACTTATGGTTGGTCCCAGGAATCGAACCCACTATCCTGGTGTTACAAGCACCATGCTCTACCAACTGAGCTACAAAGGACTACAAAGGAAACACAGTTTTTAATGTTCCGAATTTTCAATGATGTCCTCTGTTGCAACACCCATTACCGAGTTCCAAACTGCCTCTAGATGCAACGTCAGCACAATAACTGTTCGTCGAGCGATTCATGAAATGGGTTTCCATGGCCGAGCAGCCGCACACAAGCCTAAGATCACCATGCGCAATGCCAAGCGTCGGCTGGAGTGGTGTAAAACTAGCTGCCATTGGACTCTGGAGCAGTGGAAACGCGTTCTCTGGAGTGATGAATCACGATTCACTATCTGGCAGTCCAATGGACGAATGTGGATTTGGCGGATGCCAGGAGAACACTACCTTACCGAATGCATAGTGCTAACTGTAAAGTTTGGTGGCGGAGGAATAATGGTCTTGGGCTCTTTTTCGTGGTTCGGGCTAGGCCCCTTAGTTCCAGTGAAGGAAAATCTTAACGCTACAGCATACAATTACGTTCTAGACGATTCTGTGCTTCCAACTTTGTGGCAACAGTTTGGGGAAGGCCCTTTGCTGTTTCAGCATGACAATGCCGCCGTCCACAAAGCAAGGTCCATACAGAAATTGTTTGTCGAGATCGGTATGGAAGAACTTGACTGGCACGCACAGAGCCTTGACCTCAACTCCATCGAACACCTTTGGGATAAATTGGAACGCCAACATCAGTGCCCGACCTCACTAATTCTCTTGTGGCTGAATGGAAGCAAGTCCCCGCAGCAATGTTCCAACATCTAGTGGAAAGCCTTCCCAGAAGAGTGGAGGCTGTTATAGCAGCAAAGGGGCGACCAACTCCATATTAATGCTCATGATTATGGAATGAGATGTTCGACAAGCAGGTATCAACATACTTTTGGCCATGTAGTGTATTTGCAGTAGTGTTAGCTAGCTACTTTAGCAAACCTCTTTTACTTATGCCATAAAAATATGTGAAGTAGCTATTTGTGAGTAGGCATGCTTGAAGTGTTTGCATGTCTTGTAGGGTTTTCAAAACAGCTTGGACAGAAGAGGGGATGTATTTTTCTGCACAGTTTACACTCCATTATGATGCACACACAGTAGCCTACCCCTCTCAGATTCACAGTAATGCTCCCATCAGCATTGGGTGCACAAAGTTGAATTACCCTGACCTTCTAGCATCGGCAATACAAAGTTCAAGGGCTTTGTCGATGCTTGGAGCTCTTAGCCAAACTGCAGATTCTTTCCACTTGCTCCCCCTCTCTCCTCCTGCCACCTCAAGGGTACAGTGTCCATGTTGCTCAGCCATGCAGAACGTCCCGAGGCTGAGTGGACATTGATTTACTGTACGGTGACTGAAAGAGGCCAATTGTCTTTAACCCCTCTTCTCTTGGCCCCTTGTTTTAGAAAGAGATGGGCTCAGCACATTGGAAAGGTTGTAGTGAAAGTAAAAGCAAATAAAAAATGGCCCTGTGAAAGTGTTTGCAAGGGTATAGGCCTATGTAAAAACCAGCACAATTACAAGGAGGGTGAAAAGTAGAGTACAACTGCGTTTGGTTTGGACTTTAAGTTAATCATGCTAGTGTAGGCCTGTAGTTATTTGTAGAAGATATACAGGCTGCTTAATTGCACCCCCCCCCCCCCCCCCCCCCCCCCCCCCCTCCAATGCATCTCTCAGGTAGCCATGGCAATGACAGGCCAGAGTTCCTGCTCCTCGATGAGTAATCACACCAAGGAGCGTGTGACCATGGCCAAAGTGACCCTGGAGAACTTCTACAGCAACCTCATCGCTCAACATGAGGAGAGAGAGATGAGGTATGCCTCCTACTGCACACGCACACATCCGTCTGGGCTAAGCCAACGGGCAGCATTCCACCAATGCCTTCCACTGACATATTGTTTACAACTCCTCGGTTCTCTATTGTTACATTCTTCTTATGCGTTATGTCATTCAAGGTGGGTGTTGCAAACTTTGGTATTTGTGCCTTATGTGTTCTTGGCTGACGATTAGGCTAAGAAATGGTGGCCACCGCAGTGAATATGTAGAAGATTTTAACACATTTTAACCAGCTTTTCACTCCCCACTTTTTTCTATTTTGGGCCGATAACATCAACTTGTCTGTCTTGCTTAGTAGGCCTGTATGCTCTTAATGGTGCAAATCGTCTGAGGTCTATTTTCATGTTACCGATGGACCACACAATGTCTGTCTGTCTGAGCCCCAGCCTATTGAGGTCATTTCAGTTCAGAGATAAAGAATGTGTGTGGCACTAAAGCCTGTCGCATGCTTCCCAGTCGAAACAGTCACGCATATGTTGTGACTTTTTGGTGATTGGCAGGTTTTTTTCCAGCTGTTCGCGCACACAACAGTTTTTCTAGAGGCAAGTTGAAGTTCGGTAGCTGAAGACTATGCCGCTTCGTCTGTGATGGGTCAACAGCACTACACCTAGTAGGAGTGGGAACTATGGACGGGATTTTCAATTAAGTGTTTGGTGTCATTCAACGTGAGACGACTAGTTTTCATGCAGATTTTTTCACTTGAGAAATAAACAGTAAACAGCTTAGTTTGATGTAAAATTGCGCGACTAAGACCTTGGCAAAAACATCCGTTACAGATTTCTTTATCCTCTATTTTGAAGAAGTGTTAACCGCTATGTTGTTGCTACAGCGTCTCAAAAGGGACAAACGTTAATATTTTAAGGGAGTATGCGAGGCACAGACATTCGCTTCACCTAGCAGAGTTCTACTAGGAGCAAACCAAACCTATGTATGCAGACACCTTAACTGGGGCCTTATAAATACATATTTATTAATTTGTTAGTAGGCAGAGGTTCAGAGCACGACAAACAAGAAAGTTCACACACATTGACATGATTTCCATATAAATATATACAATACCAGTCAAAAGGTTGGACACACCTACTCATTCAAGGGTTTTTCTTTATTTTTTACAATGTTTTACATTGTAGAATAATAGTGAAAACATTAAAACTATGAAATAACACATGGAATCATGTAGTAACCAAAAAAGTGTTAAACAAATCAAAATATATTTTATATTTGAGATTCTTCAAATAGCCACCCTTTGCCTTGATGACAGCTTTGCACACTCTTGGCATTCTCGCAACCAGCTTCATGAGGTAGTCACCTGGAATGCATTTCAATTAACAGGTGTGCCTGTTTCTTTCCTTCTTAATGCGTTTGAGCCAATCAGTTGTGTTGTGACAAGGTAGGGGGTATACAGAAGATGGCCCAATTTGGTAAAAGACCAAGTCCATATTATGGCAAGAAGAGCTCAAATAAGCAAAATATAAATGACAGTCCATCATTACTTTAAGACATGAAGGTCGGTCAATACAGAAAATCTCAAGAACTTTTGCAGTCGCAAAAACCATCAAGCGCTATGATGGAACTGGCTCTCATGAGGACCGCCACAGGAATGGAAAACCCAGAGTTACTCTATGCTGCAGAGGATAAGTTCATTAGAGTTACCAGCCTCAGAAATTGCAGCCCAAAAAATGTCACAGACACATCTCAACATCAACTGTTCAGAGGAGACCGTGTGAATCAGGCCTTCACGGTCGAAATGCTGCAAAGAAACCACTACTAAAGGCCACCAATAATAAGAAGAGACTTGCTTTGGCCAAGAAACACAAGCAATGGACATTAGACTGTTGGAAATGTGTCCTTTGGTCTGGAGTCCAAATTGGAGATTTGTGGTTCCAACCGCCGTGGCTTTGTGAGACGCGGTGTGGGTGAACGGATGATCTCCGCATGTGTATTTCCCACTGTAAATCATGGAGGTGGTGTTATGGTGCTTTGCTGGTGACACTGTCTGTGATTTATTTAGAATTCAAGGCACACTTAACCAGCATGGCTATCACAGCATTCTGCAGTGATACGCCATCCCATCTGGTTTGGGCTTAGTGGGACTATCATTTGTTTTTTAACAGTACAATGACCAAACACACCTCCAGGGCTATTTGACCAAGAAGGAGAGTGATGGAGTGCTGCATCAGATGACCTGGCCTCCACAATCCCCCGACCTCAACCCAATTGAGATGGTTTGGGATGAGTCGGACGGCAGAGTGAAGGAAAAGCAGCCAACAAGTGCTCAGCATATGTGGGAACTCCTTCAAGACTGTTGGAAAAACATTCCAGGTGAAGCTGGTTGAGAGAATGCCAAGAGTGTGTAAAGCTGTCGTCAAGGCAAAGGGTGGCTATATGAAGAATCTCAAATATAACATATATTTTGATTTAACACTTTTTTTTGGTTACTACATGATTCCATATGTGTTATTTCATAGTTTTGATGTCTTCACTATTATTCTACAATGTAGAAAATTGTCAAAAAATCAAAATCAAAAATAAATATGCAATGTAGGAGGTGTTATTTGTTTTTCAACAGGACAATGACCAAACACACCTCCAGGCTGTGTAAGGGCTATTTTACCAAGAAGGAGAGTGACTGGTACTGTATGTCATCATCAGTAGAACGACAAGTTGTCTGTTCAAACACGGATCACCTAATGATGAAACAAGCAGCAGATGGTAGAGAAATGACGGTTGGGTATTGTCTAAAAGCGGTCTGAGTCGGTCTCGCCATCATAGCCATGGGAGGACCTTGTTTGTGTGCTGGCTTCAAGAGGAAACTGATAAACGGTTATTATGACACACGAAGTGGCACCTGTCCAACCCCTACTACCACTTAGCCCTATTAATAACACTGGAGAACAAAGGCAACGCAGTGGTCTCTTATCTCAGCAGCTTCAGCTTAGAGCAAAGAAGGAAATGACACTAATATGGAAGTCCCTGGTTCGCATTCATTAGTGCACAACGTAGTAAAGCGTAGCAATACGTTTTGGAACTCAAAACCAAAACGAGCATTCTTATTGGAGTTCAGATAGTCCCTCACTGTTTCAGCCCGTTTACATTAATTCCTAGTGAATACTACACGGATGTGGCGATGGGGTTGATCCATAAAAAGTATGTGGGCATTACAAGAAAACGGCACCTATTTGTATGCTTTCTGGAAGGATACTGCTCAAAGATGCAATATACCCTACCCTTACACACTTGGCTACATGAGTCAATGAAAGTTCCTCTTTCTCTCAATATTAGGATATAATTTTCTTGTAGCATCATAATTTTGCTGCTCAGCTCGAACCAAGGTTCTCTCTCACAGCATGGAAACATTCAAACTAGTGTTGACCCCAATTAGTCGACTGGTTGATTGTGCATTCGGAAAGTATTCAGACTCCTTGACTTTTTCCACATTTTTTTACGTTACAGCCTTATTCTATAATGGATGAAGTAGTTTTTTCCCGTCACACAATATCCCATAATGACAAAGCAAAAACAGGTTTTGAGATTTTTTTGCGCATATATATATTTTTAAACATTGATCACATTTACATAAATATTCAGACCCTTTACTCAGTACTTTGTTGAAGCACCTTTGGCAGCGGTTACAGCCTCGTCTTCTTGGGTATGACGCTACAAGCTTGGCACACCTGTATTTGGGGAGTTTCTCCAATTCTTCTCTGCAGATCCTCTCAAGCTCTGTCAGGTTGGATGGGGAGCATCGCTGCACATCTATTTTCAGGTCTCTCCAGAGATCTTCAAGTCTGGGCTCGTGCTGGGCCACTCAAGGACATTCAGAGACTTGTCCCGAAGCCACTCCTGCGTTGTCTTGGCTGTGTGCTATGGGTCATTGTCCTGTTTACATTTACATTTTAGTCATTTAGCAGACGCTCTTATCCAGAGCGACTTACAGTTAGTGAATACATATTTTTTTATACTGGCCCCCCGTGGGAATCGAACCCACAACCCTGGCGTTGCAAACGCCATGCTCTATCAACTGAGCTACATCCCTGCCGGCCATTCCCTCCCCTACCCTGGACAACGCTGGGCCAATTGTGCGCCGCCCATGTGAACCTTCGCCCCAGTCTGAGATCCTGAGCGATCTGGAGCAGGCTTTCATCAAGGATCTCTATATACTTTGCTCTGTTCATCTTTCCCTCGATCGTGACTAGTCTCCCAGTCCCTGCCGCTGAAAAACATCCCCACAGCATGATGCTGCCACCATCTTGCTTCACTGTAGGGATGGTGCCAGGTTTCCTTCAGACGTGACACTTGGCATTCAGGCCAAAGACTTCCATCTTGGTTTCATCAGACCAGAGAATCTTGTCTCATGGTCTGAGCGTCCTTTAGGTGCCCTTTGGCAAAATCCAAGTGGGCTGTCGTGCCTTTTACTGAGGAGTGGCTTCCGTCTGGCCGCTCTACCATAAAGGCCTGATTGGTGGAGTGCTGCAGAGATGGATGTCCTTCTGGAAGGTTCTCCCATCTCCACAGAGGGACTCTAGAGCTCTGTCAGAGTGACAGAGCTCCTCCCTGACATTTTACGTTGACATTTTAGTCATTTAGCAGACGCTCTTATCCAGAGCGACTTACAGTTAGTGAGTGCATACATTTTTTCATACTGACCAAGGCCCTTCTTGGCCGTGCGGCCAGCTCTAGGAAAGGTCTTGGTGGTTTCATTTAAGAATGATGGCGGTCACTGTGTTCTTGTGACCTTCAATGCTGCAGACATTTTTTGGTACCCTTCCCCAGATCTGTGCCTTGACACAATCCTGTCTCCAAGCTCTAGGGACAATCCTTTGACCTCACGGCTTGGTTATTGCTCTGACATACACTGTCAACTGTGGGACCTTTATATAGACATTTTTACATTACATTTTAGTCATTTAGCAGACGCTCTTATCCAGAGCGACTTACAGGAGCAATTAGGGTTAAGTGCCTTGCTTAAGGGCACATCGACAGATTTTTCACCTAGTCGGCTCGGGGATTAGAACCAGCGACCTTTCGGTTACTGGCACAACGCTCTTACCCACTAAGCTACCTGCCGACCCTAGACAGTTGTGTGACTTTCCAAATCATGTCCAATCAATTGAATTTACCACAGGTGGAGTCCAAGTTGTAGAAACATCTCAAGGATGATCAATGGAAACAGGATTCACCTGAGTTCAATTTCGTGCCTCATAGCAAAGGGTTTGAATACTTATGTAAATAAGGTAGTTCTGTTTTTGATGTTTTAATAAACTTGCTAAAATGTCTAAACCTGTTTTCGCTTTGTCATTATGGGGTATTGTGTGTAGATTGATGAAAAATGTGATTCAATAAATGTTAGATTATGGCTGTCCCGTAACAATGTGGAAAATGATAAGGGGTCTGAATACTTTCCGAATGCGCTGTAGCAGCCTTGTATAACCACCATCGAGCTGTAGGCCTAGGAGCACATCCTGTTTAGTCTTAATACCATAACTTACTCAGGCCTATATTTCAGTACTTCTATAGGCTACTGTATTAATCACTCATTCATCCGTTAATGTTATCACACAGCATACAAGTCATTCATGATTTGAAATGCCATCAAGCATTTTAGTTTGAAAATAAAGTGAGCCTTGAATAATTAGCTTAAACAATAAGGAAACCATTCGATTTTGGAAATTGCATTCACGAATGAATGTGACTGTTTTTAGTCTTTGCTGTAATAAAGGCTTAGCGCAAAAAGTTACAACAGACTCTCTGGTATGCTTATACTTTATTTAGTGTTTACATTTGTTCCAAACGGTCAGAGAAATTATATTGTAATCTATAAAGCACCTGTTTGGCACACATATGCACGCAGTGCTTGCTCCTTAGTCTTCTTTTTTTTCTTGTTCTCCTGTATTTTCCGCAACTAGTCACATTTATTTCACACATCTGACGTTCCCTTTACCTCCTGAGCAACCTATAAATATTCCCCACTATCGAGTTTATTTGTCACGTCCTCTGCATCCATTTTGCTGTCACGTGTTAGTGTTCAGAGTTTGTTATAACCAATTTATTGAAGTGATTATGATATGCTATTTGCACGGCCTGCCCGCTCATTAGGCAGGATTAGGCGGCCGCCAATGGCGGCAGTGACGAGGGTGGCATTTTCTGAGCTAAACTGACCACCAACAGCAACACAAAACCTCACATAATGCTGCACAAAAACCATGACAATTTCTCTCAACCAGTGGCATATGGGCTTTTTAGGTGAGCGCTGATGCCACCCTTTGATAAGCTGTGGCCACTTCGTCAAAGGCAGGGGCGCAAAATATTTTGCTTGTCCATTCCCAGCGTGCCTCTCTAGGGTGGTGTTGGAGAGACACATCTCTGCAGCGCTCCACCAACATTCAGTCCCCCAAAAAAATCTAACATAAATTATGTAGCAGATATAGGATATGGTAGAAAGGTATGTGGCCTTTTTTGTAGCGTACAGGCTGGAGATAAAATGTATGACAATGTAATGAGACAGACACTTTTTACATCATGCCGGTTTCTCCAATCAAATAGCCTAACCTAAATGGCGCTCAATCAAATAAAAAATGTGCTGTCATGTTAACAAAGCAATTTGGATAATATGGAAAGGACAATCACAACTGTTGTCCAGGAGTTTCACCCCATTGTCATGATCAGTGGTTTCAAGTTTATATCCGTTATTAATTTTTTGACAACCTGATCATAGCGAAACAGAAAATACTTCTGCGTTTCCCGCTGTGTAAACACATTGCAAATAGGCTCGCGATAACTACTGATAAAGTTGGGTAGCTGATATTGAGCTTAAACAGCCAAATTGATTAGTCACAGGAATCCGGACTAATACAGCCAATGCAATGGCCTGTTTTAGAAACGGTCGGCCTACCACATGGATGCACATAAATAGAATTCCATTGCAGGCCGACATGGTAGGCTACACCCGAGTAAGCACGAGCCTATGTATTTTTTTGGTCCTGTCTGGAACTCATTTTTGGGGGTTTTACAAACGGGAGGCATACCACATACAGTGCATTCAGAAAGTATTCAGACCCCTTCACTTTTACCAAATTTTGTTACGTTACAGCCTTATTCTAAAATGGATAAAATAAATCCCTCCTCAATCTACACACAATACCCCATAATGACAAAGCGAAAATAGGTTTTCAGAAATGTTTAGCAAATGTATTAAAAATGTATTTACATAGGTATTGAAACCCTTTGCTATGATACTCAATTGAGCTCAGGTGCATCTTGTTTCCATTGATCATCCTTGATGTTTCTACAACTTGATTGGAGTCCACCTGTGGTAAATTCAATTGATTGGACATGATTTGGAAAGGCACACACCTTAATTTATAAGGTCCCACAGTTGACAGTGCATGTCAGAGCTGTGTAGATGGATGAGGGATTTTTAACAAAAATCAATTTTAGAATAAGGCTGTAACATAACAAAATGTGGAAAAAGTCATGGGGCCTGAATACTTTCCGTATGCACTGTATATGTGCTCATTTGGGGATCTGATAGTGTTTCTGATTGGCTTAATGCACCACCACTAATGAGCTGTGGAGCTTCTCAAAGTAATGTTTTCTTCATCTCAAACAGCAAGCAAACAGTCTGTTTTTATATCCATTGAGAAGGACTATTTCCTCAAGCTCTCTCCCTTTTGATAACCACTCCGCATGAAAGGGAAAAATGTCATGCTCTGATCCAGTGGAAACTTCATAAAATAGTCCTACATGATGAGCTCTTATCCCTTGCTCACGTTTGCTAGCATGAGCTTCTGGCCAGACCCAAGTTGATAGTACAATGTTTCAAGTTCATTGCAGACAGGCAATGCGTTGCCAATGTGATTTATAGGATATTTGTTTTTATCAGGATATTTTCTACCTGCAGGCTGCAATGTTGTTATTTGTTAGCTTTATGTAGGCTATTTTTACATAGTTGGCAATGGCAATATAAGTTACTTTTTTTTTTTAGGTTTTATCATTTAATTTAGATTTGGATAGAATTTTGATTAACCACATGTCAATGATTTTGAGATACGAAGACGTTATTATAAACGAAATGAAAAAGTTCAAGAAAATGTGCATGTGAAAACCATAACTGGCACACAGATTGGTAGAAATGGTAAGATAAATTGGCATTCCACATGAGAAAGGTTGCCGATTCCTCGTGTAACCTATTACTGGCAACTTCAGGAGTTTATAAGGCAGAATCTGCGAAAGCCAGCAGGAGCGGGAAGAGGGTGGCCAGGTTAAGTTTTTAAAAAATGTCTTCTGGTTGTCTTATTTGCGTCTTATTTCATCAAACAGTGTGCTTAAAGCATCAGACAAGCTCAATGCATATAGTTCATTTTACTAAAACAGATGGGATGTGTCTAAATGGAATAATACACGCTTAAAAATGTTGACCAATCGATTGGTTGAAAGAACAGACTAATTTTGGTCGACATGTATATGTATTTTTCGGGGACAGCCATAATTGTAACTTTTTTTCCCCCCATTTATGTTCCAGGCAGCAGAAGTTGGAAAAGGTGATGGATCAAGAGGGCTTGGCTGATGAAGAGGTGAGGTTGAAGACTGACACACACACACAACCTTTTTGACACGTGCAGTTGTGCACACTAACCTTTGCCCCCTCTACCTGTGCAGAAGCGTATCCGGCGCTCCCAGCACGCCAGGAAAGAGACTGAGTTCCTGCGTCTCAAACGAACCCGCCTAGGGCTGGAGGATTTTGAGTCCCTCAAGGTGATTGGGCGAGGAGCTTTCGGAGAGGTAGGCATCACCCCTTTTATTACAAACACCTCTTTTATGTAGCCTTGCAGACTATCAGCTTAGTATTCAATAAATTATTGACACGTTTTGGTCCCAAGGTGCGTCTGGTGCAGAAGAAGGACACAGGCCATGTGTACGCTATGAAGATCCTCCGCAAGGCCGACATGCTGGAGAAGGAGCAGGTGAGGAGGAGGAGGAAAGGGTAGGAGGGTATGTTGATGGCCAATACTTATGATGGCCAGTCATGTTCATTTTCTCACAAATCCATAGCAGTGTCTTGGATCCAAAAGTAGTACCTGCCATGCAATCTAAAATTGATGTATGGTGCCATTTGTGTGCATTTCTAGGTGGGCCACATCCGTGCTGAGAGGGACATCCTGGTAGAGGCTGACAGTCTGTGGGTGGTTAAGATGTTCTACAGCTTCCAGGACAAGATGAACCTCTACCTCATCATGGAGTTCCTGCCTGGCGGTATTACCCCCCTCACCCTTAGCTGAACCCCGAACAGTCTCCTACACTACAGGGACAGTCATTGTCCAGTGGGAAGCTATTGACCAGATCAGCTAGTCTTGCAGGTGTATGTAGACCTCAGAGTAGGAGTGCTGATCTAGGATTGGGTCCCTCCTGTAAATAAAATAATATTCATTATGGTCTAAAAGGCTAAATTGATCCTAGATCAGTACTGCTACTCAGACGCTTGATACAGCCCCTGACGCTTGATACAGTCTGTAAGGAGGAGCCGTCAGAACATTGCAGAAACATAGAACATTGGGAATAAACAATCATAATGCAGCACATTTCTAAATGCAAAGCCACCGAACGAACAACTTCTGTCTCGCTGGATATGCCTCAAAGTCCAGTGGGACTGTACAGGTTGTAACCTGACACTGTCCCCTACAGGTGACATGATGACCCTGCTGATGAAGAAGGATACTCTGACAGAGGAGGCCACTCAGTTCTACATCACTGAGACGGTGCTAGCCATCGACTCCATCCACCAGTTGGGCTTCATCCACAGAGACATCAAACCTGACAACCTGCTGCTGGACTCCAGGGTGAGGTTTGAGCACAGACTCAAGAGACACAAATAGGGCTGTTGCGGTGACCGTATTACCGCCACACCGGCGGTCACGAGTCATGAAGGCAGTCCACATGACCGTTTAGGCACGGTAATTAGGCTTCTCCAAACTCTGATGCCGCTGCTGGTCATTAGTAGCCTACCAACCTTGCTAACTGCCTGGTACTCGGCACTCTATTGTACCTATAATCACTGACATCAATGCGAATTTATTTGAAAATCAAACACTTAATGAGAGCCCATGAGCTCATGTTGCGAAACATTTCTATAGGCTATGCAATTGCGGGAGAAAACAGAGTAATGGCCGCTAATAAAAAGAGGAAGATCCCATCAGCTTTCTATAGGCTAGACCTACTATATTTATTTCTCAACTTTCCTAATATTAAGCACATTGCTTATATTTACAACAGGAGTATAGTCTACCTGGCTGGCATGAAAATAAACCACGGGGAAAAGCGTCCTCCATTCGCTATTTAAGTGCATAGATGACATGTATTTTTTTCCCGCTGCCTCTGTTTCGATACAAGTGCATGAAAATGGTCCATTCTAAATCAAAACAATTGTCACACATAAATTATTTAGTACATGTAAAGACAAGATTAAATCAAAAATTAGTCTGATGGGTGACAATATTAGCCTATCACTTGTGAATGATGCCCAGCATAAGAAACAATGCCTTTTTTTGGTCACTTTTTCGAATCATAGTAGCACACCTCGTAGCCTAGCCCATAGGCCTATATGTTTTAATAAGGTTTGTATCACAACTAAAGTGGCCAAATAACTTCTTAAAATTAAGCACATTAATCAACTTTACAAGGGGTGTAGAGCCTAACTGGCATATATAAGCAGTCGCGTCCCCGATGTGTCTGTCTTCACTTGTAGCCTGTGAGAAAGACCCGATCACGTAACGGAGAGCCATGTGAGTGAGAGACGCTTCGGATTGCGCAGCACACTCAAGGAGAAGGGCACAACGCAGCACTCCGTGCCTTAAAAGGCATGGATTTTTTTAGGGTGCATTACAGCCACAAAGGGGATGCCGCCGTGACATTCGAGGCATTATCGAGTGCTTGTCAAATTGTGAATGAGAAACTATTGGAGTGTGTACAGCCTGCGCAAAAAAAGAAAACAGAGCTCATGCCTTTCATTAGTCTCATCATGCAGCCTTACAATGTATTAAAAATCCAAACATATAGCCCAACGTTTGTGGAACAACTAAAGTTACATTAATAACTCTAAATTAAGCATTTAGGAGTACCTATTTCTTTGTTAACTGCTCAACACAGAATAGCCGCGTGTGCGGCTTTGTTCAATTGTATTCATATTACAAAACAATATAAAATAATGCCACAGAATTATAAGCAAATATTATCTGCTAAATGAACTAGTGTAGCCCACAGCCATTTGGCATAGCCACATCAGGAACTAACATAAGGACAACTCAGAGTACGCTATTCTGTTCTTCTGAAATAGACTACATTTTCTTCATATCATGCTTTAGACATGTCTAAAATAAGTAATGCATTTATTGTGAAGGTGTAGGCTATATTACATGGATTTATTATACTTTTTAAAATGGCTTGTAGGCTATGTGTGGAAGCCAGGAGACACTAAATGTGTTTATGTTAATTAACGGTCAATAACCATGAGACCGACAGTTATTTGCTTGACAATCACCAGCTGACAATGTTGTGACCGCCACAGCCCTAGACACAAACATGAGCTCAGACTGGTGGTTTGGATATGTTATTTTTTTCGAATTTGCAAGGCACCAAACTAAATAAAACGGACTAACATTTTCCAGTACACTGGCACGGTGTGCACTAATGAATATGAGCCTGTATTGAATGTGTCTTTGTTTGATTGTTTCAGGGCCACGTAAAGCTGTCTGACTTTGGTCTATGTACAGGTCTGAAGAGGGCCCATCGTACCGAGTTTTACAAGAACCTGAACCATAGCCTCCCCAGTGACTTCAGTAAGCAAAGTCAGGCATCCCCAATCAATCCATTACTTTACCTACTAACACCCTGTATCAATGTTTAAGCCACAATATGGAGTTTTTGTCTCAGCCCTTGTAGTCCTTAAGATTTGGAAGCATATTTTGGAGCTACACATTGTTTACAAAGACCCAAATAAGAACCAAAACATAAACAATGGAGTCATATTTGGGTTATGGTGGGTGTAAGACTGATGTACAAAGCTCATATACATTATATTAATTAGAAATACCATTTAACAGTTGGAAATGTCCCAGATGTTGTGCCTTAAATGTTTCTCTACTAACCTGGTAATGATTTGAAATGTGCTTGTACAAAACTAAAAATGAAAAACGTAATGGTTTGTTTTTAGGTATGCTTCATATTATTTAAATTTGTTTCATGTACCAATGTGTAGCCTACATATTTTGAGTTGTTGCATGTACCAATCTTCAAGTTCCCTAATGGGGATTATTTTGTAAATTGAATATATCTTGAGCTTCTGCTAAATGACTAAAATGTAAATCAATAGATCCTAAATGGCTATTTGTTTTATAACAAAGAATCTGAAAGGGTTTAAGATACTTAGTTTAACCTGCAAGTGAGGTTATGTAGTCCATTATGTAAGTTGCATCATTTTATTGAACTGTTTATTTTTCTTTACAGCATTCAATAACATGAACTCAAAGAGGAAAGCAGAAACATGGAAGAGGAACAGGAGACAGCTGGTGAGAAAATGAAGCTGGATGGGAGGGCAACATACTGTACATTCTACAAGTAGACATGGGCCGTGTTCGAGTGCATCCATTTTGGACTGACTAATCTACATATAAAATTGAGGATGCAGGGTGATTTGTAGATCTGTCAGACTGCAGTCGATCTCGAACACGACCACATTTGTATTGGAGTAGTCTTGTAGTCACATTGCATGATCTTTCTCTCCCCCCCCAGGCCTTCTCTACTGTGGGCACCCCTGACTACATCGCCCCTGAAGTCTTCATGCAGAACGGATACAACAAGCTCTGTGATTGGTGGAGCCTTGGAGTCATCATGTATGAGATGCTGATAGGTGAGATCCTATCAACAACTTCTACTTGGGGCCTCTTAAAAAGCATCGATTGTTTTTGTAAATTGGCTTTCAATCATCTCGCATGAATGTCACAGAATGGTGCCATTACTACGTATTTGCTCATGCCTGGCTTGTTGATCCCATGTGTATTGTGTTCCAGGCTATCCCCCGTTCTGCTCTGAGACCCCCCAGGAGACCTACAGGAAGGTGATGAACTGGCGAGAAACACTGATCTTTCCCCCTGAAGTGCCCATTTCGGAGAAAGCTAAGGACCTCATCCTCCGGTTCTGCTGTGAGGAGGAGCACAGGATCGGAGCCACGGGGGTGGAGGACATTAAGGGCAACGTCTTCTTCGAGGGGGTGGACTACGACCACATCAGGTACGAGGGCTTAAAAGAATAGTTCACTTTTCTGCATTTTTAAAATAATATTTTACACATTTTTGGGGTGTTATTTCATCTAAACCATCTGCTGGTTATTTGGCAATATTGGGAATCTCCTGGCTAGCATTTTTTGAGGATGTAGCAATGCTAGTGGAAACTGATTGTATCAGTTAGTGGTGCATTCAAAAACTGATTGGAACAGTAACATTCTAAAACCAGGGTTCCAATTTTATTACAGAGAGCGACCCGCTGCCATTCCCATTGAGATCAAAAGCATCGATGACACGTCCAACTTTGACGAGTTCCCAGACTCTGATATTCTCCAGCCGACAGGTACGTTGCTCATTGTCACCAACATTAGTGGCTGCCACTAGTCATAATTCAACACGGTAGTGTTCATTAGGGCACACAAAGAAAAACAAACATGTTTTGTATTAGACCAAGTCCAGGTAGTCACTCCCAGGTTCAGTCAGTTTTCTTCTATTTGGTGCCTATTAAACATGGCCCTGGTAAACTAACGCCACCTTGAAACAAGATTCTCACATTTTGGATCCTTTGTTTTCCTCTAATGCCCTGTGTGAAATAATCCCTGTATTTTCCGCCTCAGCTGCCCCTGTGGTGTCCAACCATTCAGAGGTGGACCTGAAGAACAAGGACTGGGTCTTCATCAACTACACCTACAAGCGCTTTGAAGGCCTCACAGCCCGAGGGGCTATCCCCTCCTACATGAAGACAGGGAAGAGATGAATCGTTCCTTCGTTTACTCACTCACTCTACCTGCCCCTCAGACTGGCATTCAAAAGGAATGCCCCATGGATCCCAACGTCCACTCCTCTCCCAAACTCCAAAATGGAGGTAGAAACTAAATGGTCCTATTCAAACTTGTTTTGGGCCCCATCAAAATTGAGACTATCCCATGTGTCTGATCCTGCTGAAGGGACCTTCCTCCTTCCTTTGCAGGGGACTTATTGTAGGGCTCTGTGTAGGGAAGTGTGAGCTACTCCAACTCGAGTTTGTCGATCTAAAAAAGCCACAGTGTTGTGTTGGAATGTATGGACAGTGTTTTCTATGTGAAAACTCATATTTAATTCCACCCCAGGATTAAAGTTCCCATAACTAAAGTGTGGGATCCACCAATGAGCAGTCTTGGAGGGGTTGATATTGCCTTAGTTTGGGGACCATCTCTCGTAGTTCTCCACTAGCATCGGTCCAACTCGGCCAAGACTGATTCACTATGCTTCAGTATCCTAAGGGACTGAACCAAGATACCAGCATAACCGGTCACCCTAGGGGCCAGATCCCATTTTCACACCAGAAGACCACACTTGACCGGCTATACCAGCATTCTTCACTTCCTCCTCCACAAACAAACATTGACGTCTTAGTTTAGCTGGGCGACCACCAGCATGGGACTGGGATCCAAAATGCCTCACTTTTCTGTCAAAGGGCTAGCTTTTCTCTCTTCATTTTCTGTCTTTTTCCAATGAAAGATGACTGAGTTGTTCCACACATACAATAGAATTGTCCATTTTTTAGAAATAAGTTCCGCCATTAAAAACATTAGAAATGGTGTCATTTGACGTGAACTAAAAATGCTTTTCAGGGAATATATGTCAATGTTTTTCATGTGTTTTTAGAGAGCTCTCTACTGAAGCGTCTTGGATGATGGCGCTTCCGACAGGTTGCCTGTTGCAACGAGGCAACCAAAAACAATGAGAGCTGAGAGTAATTGTTGTAACTATTCAATCTTATTTTTGAGAGTTTCAATGGAATTGCTTTGTCCCCATTTAATTGTCACTTCACTACCGTCAATGGCGGAGCTGTTACGTGGACTTATGCAAGTGTTTATAGCAATAGAATCGCCTCTCTTGAAAATGATTCCATTTGAAATGGAACTCCAGAAGCCCACCTGTTTTAGGTTCTTAGTTTGACAATCATCCACTGTTAATATTAGCACCTTCATGCTGTCTTTTCTTTGATTCACCAGTACTCTGTCGGATTTATTTATAACATTTGTGGATATGCATGTCCTTAGCTAGAGAGCAAAATCGAATACAAAAATGTGTTGCATGTACCGTTTGAATATTTTGGTGCATATGCCAGCCATTCTTTTTGGTACTTTTCGATGGACCTTTGGGGTAGGGGAGCTAGAAGTAAGGCCAAGATATTGATACTCTTCTCTTTCCTCATCTTTTTTGTCCTGACCACTGGTCTGTAAGGGCTTGGTAGGTGAGGTGGCAGCGCAAGTTCGTTCAGTGGACTTGTAAGTAACAGAGAATAGAAAAGGAGCAGCTTTTAGAGTATTGAGACGCACTCAGTGTGCTCTGTGACCCCAGGTTAGGGTCATTCTCGTCCCCTTTTCACTTCCTGTCGTGTCTATAGTTCAGTCTCTTCCTGTTGCTTGACTATTTCTTAGCAACCATGGTTTGAGAGAATACTTTAAACATTGCATTTGTCTGAAGTTTTGTCAAGGATATGTCACTTGGTATGTCCTTACTTTTCAAGAGGCTAAGAGGTGTGAGTGAGAAACTCTTGACCTTAACTCTGTAACCAGGGCTATATGTGACTCACTGTTCTTATACAATCCCAAATGCTGTCATTTGAATCTAATGTAATCCCAAGGTGTAGTGGAAGATTAATTTCATGCTATGTTAATTCCAAAATGCTGTAATTTGAATGGAATGTAGCCTAAACCACATGAGTGGCCCCGTGTAGCTCAATTGGTAAAGCACGGTGCTTGCAACGCCAGGGTTATGGGTTCATTTCCCATGGGGGGCCAGTATGAAATGTATGCACTCACTAACTGTAAGTCGCTCTGGAGCGTCTGCTAAATGACTAAAATGTAAAAATGAGCGGTAGGTTTACACAGTGAAGATGTCATGTTTGGTCTTTTGTTAAATATCTGTACGGTGTTCTGGGTAGTTTAGACTACTTGCTGAGATGTAATATTCAGATTTTCTGTTTGTTTTTACGACTGATCGAAAGAACAGATTTTGAGACTGGTCTCACTTTTTACTGATGCTTGATGTCCGAATGATCCTGCTGTAATGCCGGGTTTAAAGAGTATTGGGCGGATTAGTTGGTGAAGTGCGAATGGCTTCTTGGAATAATTTTCTTTTAAAAGAATGCTGCTTGGTGTGTGTGATTTGCGTGTCTTTAGAGGAATGGGTGATATGTTCAGTAAAAATAAGATGTTGGAATATGTTGTTTGATTAAGCCACACTGATAAGGGTGGTGTTCTTTTGTAGACGTCATCCAACTGTGTGTATGCTGTTTCTTTCCCCTAGGCACACACGGTGTGGGAAACATGCTGTACAAACCTTTTATAGGGAACATTCAATCAAAAGTAGGGGGAGTTGTATTTAATCCACTGTGGTGTGAGGTTTATATTGTATATTTTCTGCCATTTCGCTCACATTGAATAGCTGCACTTAATATCTGTGTTGTGACAGTTTGTACAGCAAAATAATGGGCCGCTCTGAAATCTGTCTTGTTAGACAGTCTTTGTTTTGATGGATGAGGGAATGTCATTTCACTGGTTGAATGGGCAAGCTAGCCATGTGCAGGAGTTACATTTTGTTCTTGAAATTGTTTTATCTGACTAACTAAATTATGTGGAATAATGGAAACGGTAAACTAATAGCTTGAAACAAAGGTCTTAAATATTTATTATTTCTCAAGTTTGGATTCCAAACATCCCTTGCTACTCAAGACCGATTCAGACCCCTTCGTCAAGAGCAACAATGTTTTCATCCAAATGGATGAAGGGTGATTGTCCATTTTTAGCTTTTGACCAAAGATAACCCTACACAACAAACTGGGCTAGGAGTAAAGTTAGCAGGACTGACCAGTTTCTCAAGCCCCATCTTGTAAAGTCACCCAGTCATTGCTCCCTCATCTCTCAATAGTGCAAAGAAGTTCTTACAGGGCTGTGTTGTCATGCATGCAACAGTTTAAACAGCATAAACTAGTCTTTGTGTAATAGATGGCACATTCCTTCTGTAAAAACGAGTCTTCAATTCCACCATGGTTTTCAGAGAATTCTTCAGTGTTCTTCGAAGGCATTACTTGGCAGTATCCCTGGTTAGACTTGTAAACTAGTAGCCTACTACCATAGAGGCTTAGAAACTGCATGGTTGAGATGTGCATTTCACCATGCATCCTTTGAGTATGTTAGCCACTTTCTGCCTTAACATTGGGTTAAGTCGCGTGTGTATTGGTTCTCTAGTTAGTTCAAAAGGCACATCAGCTTGTTTCACTGATGGTAGCAATACTCACCTGCACTATTATGCTGGTAGACTTTTAACAGCGTTAAATAAAACCCCTAGGCCTATGTTGAACCAGTGTCTTTCTTTCTCATTCCTTGTCTGTGTAGAATAGGTCAGCTAGGGCGGCTCTGCCTCAAGGGAAGAAACAAGTAATTGTTAGGCAAGAAATGTGATGGGCAAGTTATCACAATTGGCTAGGGTAAAGGGTTTGGATGCTCAGGTGTATCCTACTGTGGAAGATGGTTGAAATCAGCCTCACCCTCTGAAACAGGTGTTCTCTTTAAAAACGATATGCTACTTATCCTTTTATCTAGAAAATGTCTAGCACGACTAGCTACATTTATTTTTAACACTACATATGTATTTTGGGATTCTACCCTTGTGGAGGTGAGGACGGAATGTGAGGAGTCGATGAAATCCATTTCAGGAAAGGCCTATGTTATGCCCTTGCAGCAGAGCTTCCCTCAGAACCTTAGTGTTGCCAAAATGCAACACTAAGGTCAGTTCCTATTTACGTATGACAGGATTCATTGTAACTTTTTTTGAAAACCTGTCTGAATAAACATAATGAAAAGTCACACAGGCTATAAATGGATCGTTTTTTTAAAAGGGCATCGTCAGGATTAGAATCTGTGACCTTTGGTCCCTGTCCCAGTGCTTATGCCACATTCACATGGCAGTCGGAACTAGGAAACTGACATTTTCGACATGGAAACTCGTAGAAGAAACATGAGCTCCGAGTTTCCCACTTGAAAGTATCAGGATCAACCAATAGGAAGCTGTACGCAAATACTGTAACTTGTGTTCAGAGTTTCTGATAGCAAGTGAACACGGCATAAGTCCACTGCGTCAGTAGGGGTGAAGGCATCACCCGTGTTTATTATCACTGAACACAACAGGTGCTTATTAGAGACTGGCTTCTATTTGAGCCAGGTGTCTATTTCCTTAATGCACACAGCTTTTGCTCATTTGCATAGTTCATTGTTTAATTCCAGCATTCACTTGCATCATTTAAATAAATGTCTTCGTTTCCTGCACTAATGTGTTTTTGTTTACACACACTAGCTAGGTTTCCATCCAATTTGAGACAGAGTTATGAAGCGAGATAGCTGCCAAAAGGTTGAACATATGTATCGTTAGGATCGTAGGAAAAGCCATGCATGAAACGTAAACGTGAAATTTCATCTGTGAACATACAAACACCATGTTACGATTACGGACTAACATTTTAGGCTTGAACAAATCTTTTGTTGCAATTCTGAAGTACAATAATAACTTTCAGAGTTTTGGCCGTTGCATCTCACAAACAAAATAAACTTGCACCAAACGGCCTGTGAGGAGTGCTACGCGAACAAGCATAACACAGTATAAAAAAAATGGAAGTCAGGGAAACCCACAAGTTAAGTCTCCATTCTCTAGTCATAGTGCAAACTGAGTCCACATGCTCCCGCCGGAGTAGCCATAAGTCTGTGTGAGAAG